AATACTTCAAATTTAGGCAAAGACTATGATGATGGATATACATACAGTTAAATTGCCTCTTAATACTGATTTTAGTTGGTAATAACACTCTTACTTTACTCCAGGCCTTTAACGTTTGTAGGTTTTTGTTCTTGAGGGTAAAAGTAGAGATGTAATTTAATATAGCCACACTCATATAGTAAAAAGCCATTTTAACTGATTCCTCTTTTAATCATGATAAAAGATTTTTGTGACATTCCAAACATAGAAATATTTAGTTTCCTCATCTTGTATATAAACAGTTCACAAACACTGGCTCTTTTTATGTTACATTTTCTATAAAAATGTACAGAAACTCTCTTCTAGATGTGGGAATCAGAATCAAGCTCCTGGATACACAAAAGCTAAGTCATGACCCATATGTCTATTACATTTGCTAGACCTCAGATATGACTTCCCTGAAGGCAGATGCAGGAATGCGAAGATGTGTGAGAAATCAGAATGAGGAATGGCTGAATTCCATACTCTGCTCACACACAAGGGATATTCAACCTTAAAAATTTGCTGTAGTGGGGCCGGCCTGGTGGCATAGTGGTTAAGTGCACATGCTCCGCTTCAGTAGCCTGGGGTTCTCGGGTTTGGATCCTGGGCGTGCACCAACACACTGCTTGTCAAGCCATGCTGTGGCAGTGTCCCATATAAAGTAGAGGAAGATGGGCATGGATGTTAACCCAGGGCCAATCTTCCTCACACACACACACAAAAAAATTTGCTGTAGTACTCTCAAATTTTCTGTATGGAACACTCGTGATAAATTTCTTATCATAGTCTCTCAGAGCAATGACAATCCTTATGATATTTTCTACTCATCATTTCTAAAAAATATAAGCAATTATACATAAAAACAAAAACTACCTTAAAAATCATACCTACAAATAAAGCAAATACATGATTGCATCCACAGAGCTTCAAAGAAATACTTTGTTTTCATCACTGTTGCAGTTTGTGGGAATTTGTGGGAAACTCAACGAAAAATCTTCAGCAGATATTTGTAGAAAGTGACCAGGAGAAACTGGAAATGAATTTGGCAAAGCTAGGTTAGAATAATGAAACAGTGCAGATCAAAAAGAAGTTTGAGATCTTAAATTTTAGAAAGTACAGGCTGAAAAATAACATCTGAGCTTATACATAAGTACCTAAAAAGTGCTCACAAAAACCACAAAACAGTGCTCACTGGGAGACAATAAGACATCTTAGTCAGGAGCTCTGGAGTCACAGAGCTGGTTGTGACGGCCTACTAAGTCACTCACAAGCTGGGTAAACCAGTCTTTCTGAGTCCCAGTTTCCTGAGCTGTAAAATGGACGTAAATTCCATAATAGAGGCTATAGGAATTTAACAGACTAGACATACCTGAAGAAAGAAGTGCTGAAATGGAAGAAAGCCTGAAGAAATTATCCAGAATGCAACACAGGAAGACAAAAATAAGGAAGCTACGTGAGAGACTGAGAAACAGAGAGGACAGAGTGAGAAGAGCTAAAATATGTTTAATTAGAGATTCAAAGGCAGAGGAGAGCTTGTAACAAAGGCAACATTTAAAGTGATAAAAGACCTCAGTCCTCTTATCTAAGAAGACCCACAAATCCCAAGCAGAAAAATCGTTTAAAAAGTATATCACGTAAACTAGATACATCATCATAAACTGCAGACTACCAAAGAGAAAAATCTTAAAAAGCAGCCTGCCAAAAAAAGACACATTATCTATAAAGGAGAGACAGAGTGGCAGCTGACTTCTCAACAGTAACAGTAAGAGCCAAGTAACAAAGGAAAGATACTACAATGTACTGAAATAAAATAACTACCCACCTAGAATTCAACATGCAGCCAAAATATCTTTAAAGAATGAGGACATTCTTTATACTGAATTGTACACTTAAAAATGATTAAAATGGCAAATTTTATGTTACATATATTTTACCACAACTTTAAAAAACCAAAAATGTAACACATTGAAAACCACTGACTTATGTACTTTAAATGGGTTAATTGTATGGTATGTCGATTATATCTCAATAAAGCTGTTAAAAAAAGAATAAGGGCAAAATAAAAAAAGTTTTCAAATAAACAAAAACCAGCAAACCCTTAGTAAGATAAATTCTAAAGAATGTACTTTAATAAGAAGGAAAAAAGTGGTAAAATACGTGTGTAAGTCAAATAAACAAGAACTATATATATTAACCATATAGGTTTAAAAATAATAAAATTAAAACACATAACAATAATACCTAATTTGGGAGGATGTTCTTAGTGCTTTAAGATCCCTGAATAGTCTAAGACAAGAGTAAAAGGTTTTGACTCACTTTAAACTTTGATAAATTAGTATGCAAGATGTAATTTCCAGGGACCCAACAAGATTAGAAACAAGTGCTTAAATTTCAAATTAGTAGAAGAAAACATGAAATTATTTTTTAAATCCAAACAAAGGCAAGAAACTGGAGACAAAGAGTTAGTTAGAAAGCATCAATTAAGATTTATACCTAAATATAGAGTAATTATATTAATTTGTATAAATGTTACAGTTAAAAATAAAGATTGTTGGGCCGGCCCTGAGGTGTAGTGGTTAAGTTCAGCGCACTCCGCTTCAGGGACCCAGGTTCAGGGGTTCTGTTCCCTGGGCGTGGACCTACACCACTTGTCAGGCATGCTGAGGTGGCAACCCACACGCATAATAGAGGAAGGTTGGCACAAATATCAGCTCAGGGCAAATCTTCCTGACCAAAAAAATAAGAAAATAAATAAAGATCGTCAAGTTGGGGTCTTAAAAAAATAATCCAAATATACGCGTTTATAAGGGACACAACTAAAATATAAGAATACTGAAAGATTGCAAACATGCATTATTAGAGATAAGACATTTCATAATGATAAAAAAATGAAGGAGGTAAGAAGGGAGGGAGGAAACAAGAATTGGAAAGTGTATTGTAGTTTTCATTTCATAATAAACTACCCCAGAATTAAGTGGCTTATTTATTATCACATAGCTTCTGCGGGTCAGGAATCCAGGCACAGCTTAGCTGAGTCCTCTGGCTCAGGGTCTCTCATAGGCTGCAATCAAGGTGTCAGCTAAGGCTGCCTTCATCTCAAGGCCCGACTAAGGGAGGATCTGCTTCCAAGATCCTTCACATGGCTGTTGGCAGGCCTCAGAAGATCTACTTCCAAGCTCACTCACATGGCTGTTGGCAGGCCTCCTGTCCTAACTGGCTATTGGGCAGAGACATGAGTTCCTCACCTGATGGGCCTCTCCACAAGGCAGCTCACAACAGGGTAGCCAGCTTTCCTCAGAGCAAGCCAGAGAGAGTGAGACAGAGGGCAAGCGAGACGGAAGCCAGAATCTTTTTGTCATCTAATCTCAAAGTGATATCTTGTCGCTTTTGCTGTATTCTATTTGTTAGAAGTGTGTCACTAGGTCCAACCCACACTCAAGGGGAGGAAATTACACAAGGGTATAAATACCAAGAGGCAGGGATCACTGGGGACATTTTATATGCTGTCAACCAAAGAAATAAAAAACAAAAACTCTCATTGTTTGCTTATTATGTGATGAATGTAGAAAATCCAGAAGAACCACACTTGATGTTTAGAATTAATAGGAAAGTCTAGCAAAATTGTTGCATATAAAAATCAGTTTTATACTATATGTAGACAACAAACGGAAAATTTAAATTCTAAAATAACCTCATTTACAATAGGATCAAACACCAAAGTATTTACCAGTTGAATAATAACTGTTGAAAACTAGGGGTGGGCACTATTATCTCTACTTTTACATGTATTTGAAAATTTTGATACTCACATTTTTTTACAGTATCAAATACCTAGGAACAAATCTAACAAAGGTTTGCAAAGAATCTTTGCAGAGAAATTTAAATTTTTTCTCATTTATTCTAAATAAATGGAGGGGTAAACTATGTTTATGGACCGGAAGACTTAATATTGTAAAGCTAGCAATTCTCAATTCCTACAATCCAAATCAAAATCTCAACAGCACGTGTGTGCTAATGTGTGTGTGTGTGTGTGTGTGTGTGTAGTTTGCCGAGCTGATATCAAAATTAGAACATAAGGGAAAAAGTCAAAAAAAACATGGAAAAAATCTTCAGCCATATAAATAATGCAAAGTAAAACCATAATGAGATACCATTACACACCCACCACATTGACAATTCATGCTCTGACAATAGGAAGTTTTGGTAAGGATGTTAAGCAAAGGAACTCTTATACCCTGTTGACGAGAGAGTTAATTGGTACAACCAATTTGAAAGTTGGTATTATCCACTCATCAATTTCACACTTAGGTGGTGGTTATATTTTATGATCTCTCCATAAATATGTTATACATTAAAAAAAAAAAAGTAATCTTAAGAGAAAGAAAACAGTAACAAATATTTCCAAAGATAAGCAATAGGAAAGGAGACTCTGTTTGGAGGGCAAATACTGCAGAAAGTAGACTTATCTCTAAACTTTGCTCTAAATAGAATTCCAAGGTCTGAGAATAAATCCTGAAACGAAAAATCTCCCATTACTTTACATATTTGAAGGTAAGGTGGTACCTAAACCAACAGGAATACTTTTATCCATTTTTAAGTAAGCAAAATCTGAGTCATTGTGGGAGGCATTCTGCTACCAAGGAACCGGGGCAGATCTCAAGTGCAAGGAAAAACTGAGTCCAGAGAGCAGAGTAAGCTGATTAGTGAGCCTTACTCTTAGCTTTTTGGGTAATTGCTCTCAGAAGCAGCCTTCCAGATGCTCCATAATCTAAGTGTACTACAATCTGCAAAAGGGCAGATGCAAAGCAAAAGAAACAGACAAAGCACCCTCCTAAAGGCTAGGACAAAAGCCCAAATCTTGCTTCTTATTTTATCATGGAAATAAATGACTGATGTGAGAACACTGGCCAAGACAATGATGTTTAGCGTTTGAGGATGCTCTCTAACCTACCTAAATAAATGCCAAAAAAGAAACACCATTTACAGTATAAAAAACAGTATTTATTTACATTCCACTTACTTTCAAAAGGATGAGGAAGCTGTGGAAAATATATTTATAAAGGAAGTAGTCTCATTTTACTTAACCCACTTGTGTTCTCCACGAAACAACAAAGATTTGACCTAGAAATGGTATAAGAGATGCAAAGAATTTATCCAGTTCAATTTTCCACCTCTAGCCAAGACTGAAATCATACCATAGCAGGCAGACGAAAACCTACTCCACTTACAGGTAACACCAATGAATATACATGTTATAAAAGAACCAGCTTTAGTAAAATCTGTCATAGCATCCAACAAATCTGTAATAAAGACACAGCCATCATAATATAGGACATTAAGAATCTTTGTGCAACAATGAAAAACACAGAATTTACACAGGAGAAATCACAATTGGCTATTAAGTCAATAGCATCACAGTAACAGTACCCAGTGTCTTTCTTATTCAAGTATATACACTATTTTTAAGACTTGGTTATAACAAAGACATCAGTAACTAGGATGTATACCCAATTATTTTATAAACATCATGAAAAACAACAAATAAAAAATGAAAATATCCTTAAATTTTGTAACAATTACAAACATGTTAACATTACCACTATATATTTGTCTCATAATTTTTAACTGATTTGTACACTTTAAAAATAGCATTGAGTTTTATAAAAATACTGATAATGGCTCAACATTTTGTGAAGTCAGATAATCCTCATATTTCAGTAGTCTACATTTTCTGTTCTTTCTCCCACCACCACAGTCCTTCTCTTACCACCCATTTACTCAAAACAACAGCAGAGACCTCTAACAACTACAGAAGTACTACATCCGAAAACTTCTCGTTCTTTGAAATGGTTGGAAAGGGTTTTTCAGTGCCCACATTAGTAGCTGTGGTTTCGGTTTAGGTTTTTCAGGAAACAGAAGTGCTTCACTTTCTGGTGTAGGAAATCGTTCTTGGTAGACTTCAGGGTAGGATTTTTGAAACTAAAAAAAAAAGATCCAAGATGAATCAAAAAAACAGATAAGAGCCAATAAAATTGGGCAATCATTTTAAAATAGGAATTTCTGATCCCATTCTTTCCTGTTTTTGTTTTGTTTTAATGTTTATTGCTTTCCATCAGAAAAGGGAACAAATAAGAAAACAGATCGCAATCAGAGTCACTTCAACACAAATCTATTTCTTCTGGTTGAATCATTTGATTCCAATTTCTGTAGATCTAATTCATCTTTAATTTCATCCAATCTTCAAATAAACTTCTCATTTCAGTCACATTTCTTAAAATTTTCCCCACTGCCACTATAAACAGACCTCACTTTAAAAACATTCACGGATAACTCTGACTTGAAAACAACGTCTGCTCTACGCAGCTGGAGACAGTCCTGGCCCGCCCGCATCCCCGTCTCCTGGCTCATCCACCTCAGCCCGCCCGCTTCTGCCCAGACGGAGAGGACACACCCCCTACGGCTTCAGGAAAAGCTAACCGAGAAGCAATATGTTTTCCCTTTGATCTTCACCACAGACCTTCTCCAAAATTACTGAGCAAAACATGATTGAGCGTCTAGAACCCTGCTGCCCTGTGTAAAATTCTATAAGTGTGGTATGACCAACAAGGAAGCTATGCAGGATTAAGTCTTTAAAAATAAAAACCACTCACTTAATCTTGGGTCCATACTTTAAGAATGGTCAAAGTAAACCCATTTTGAGTTGAAAACTATTCTCTGAAATTAAGCCATCTTGTCTGACAGGAACTAAAAACTTTTAGTGACGCCTGAGGTAAGAACCCAATTTGATATCGGCTATCTAAAACCAACGGTTTTTAAATTCTAGACATTTTATATTTGTGAATTCAGTCTGACTTCGCCTTTCAAAAAACTCAAAAGAAATCTGTCCTCATTTGATAGCTTCTCTAAATTTAAAATAACTGTTCCACTAAACCACATCATGCCACATATCGAAATAAAAGACAAATACTAGAGAACAAGCTCCATAAATGAAGAGTTCAGTAACTGTAAAAGGTTACACTGGAGAATAAAGATGTGGGAAACTGATCACAACTGTGTAAATCAATGAGAATTCTGGAATATCTGAACTGAATAATATACTTTCAAAACTGCTATGTCTCAGAAGATGAGATTCATACGAAACCTATTAAAACAGAGAATAAAAAGAAAAAACAATGTAAGAACAGTAGGGAAAAGAAGAAATGACTTATAAAGATTATCCTTTTTACCTGCTTCAGTTTTTTCTTCTTCTCTTTGTTGGAGAGTTTCGTATCCGTTATGACTTCCTCTAACAAGGCTGCTAGGGGTTCCTGGGAGCCATATGCTCTTTGGTATTCAAATTCCTCTGGACTGATTTGACGGCAAAACGATGGGGCAGATAAAGTGATATCCATATCGGCTCCCGGATATTTTATCTGAGGCAAAAGGATTAGTAGTAAAAGGGAAAAGTGTATTTTCAAATAAATTACTAAAATTAGTTCAGATCAAGTACAACATATCTCTTACTAGGAATGCCGTGTCATTCCTCAATTTAATTGGGGAAAATTCTATATTAAAAAGTAAAAGTGTTTCCATAACTTCAAAAAAAAATCACTTAAAGCCACAGTTTTAAATATAACATTTTTACCTTTTTAAACCCAAGAGCCATTTTAATAAACAAAAAGCCTTGTACCCTCTTTTAATAAGATCTGAAATTGAAATATAAACTAAACACATCGACTAAAATGATTCAAAACAGTTAAAATGTTGAACATTTTAGTCTGATGCTCCCTCCCTTGGGGATGGACAGAGGTGCACATTTAGCTCAGCTGTTATGTAGAGAGACCACTGCAACCATCTCCTAACACGGTAATAGTGAGAATCAAGGGAAAACAACAAGTGTGCAGACACTGCACAGGGCTAAAGGGAGAAGCGAGAAATAAGAAGAAAAAAGATACAAAGACCTTGGAATAAATGAGCATTCATTAAAAATCCTTAATTTCAGATTCCAAGAGGTTCATCTTCTCAAAAATATAGCACCTACTGTTCTGTAGTGGATAAAATTGCTACTATTACATTTACTTCTCTAAGGTTTTTTTTTTTTTCCAGAAGCTACAGTTAAAAATAGATATGTTGCTGAGAGGGGTTATTGCGTTAAGTACATTCCATGCCTCAACATCAGTTTATCAAGTCAATTAGTGACAACCTAAGAGAGGCAGACCAGAACCATAAGGGAAAGGGGCATACACAGGACACTTCCTTTTTTATTTGAAGCAAGGTCAGAAAAAGCAGGAAAGGGCCAGAATAAAGGGTGAGTGAGGCCCAGGTACAGTGTGACAGCCAGAGGCCTAGGACATGGGAAAACACTAGATACTATGATAAAAGAGTGCAAGAGGAAGAAGAGGGTTGCTGCCAAGACCCATAGAAGGTTGGTGTCAAAACAATGCCTACTCACAATTTATCCATGCCAGGGTCAGCCCTGAAACTGCCCAAACCAATTCACCAGAACAGTCCAAGGGACACTGTTCATTTTCAGAGGAGCACTGCCCTAAACGTGATATGACATAGGAGCTGAGCAGCCTGTGAGAGAACAGAAATCTATAGGCTCCGAGGGCTAAAGCAAACAATTATTTGGCAATTTGACTGTAAGAGAGGAAATGTAATTGGACAATTGAGTAGTTACTGATTCTATTCAGTGCCATCCCAGTGCCTCTTTACAAGATCATGTTAATCTGCAGTTAAATTAATCATCATAGCTCAGCCTTCTGATCTGCAACTCACAGCAAAGGGCTCAGAGGTATAAGTTGCTGCAATGTATGCCTGTGCTCTGTGAATACACAACCTAGCAAGTATACAGAGCAACACAGTTATTGCTATCATTTTTCCTTGCAGAAATTCAGAGAAGTATTTCTTTTCTTTTTTACATTTTTTTTTTTTTAAAGTTTGGCTCATAAAAATGTCAGGGGGAGAGGGGGAGATTAAACTAAAACACTAGTGAATATTACACTTTTCACCCATTAAAATGGCAAAGGTATGTATGTATGTGTTAATGATAATACCCAAAGTAGGCTAAAGTGCAAAGAAATGAACACTTTCTTATACCACTGATAGGAAAGTAAATTGGAACAATCATTCTAAAGGGAAATTGAGCAACATGCAATCAATATTTAAAATATGTTCATGGCCTTTGACCATGTGATGCTGCTCCTAGGAATTTATCCTTAAAAATAATCACTGATGATGGGGCCCGCCCCATGGCCTAGTGGTTAAGTTCAGCGCGCTCTGCTTCAGCAGCCAGGGCTCGGTTCCCAGGCACAGACCTACACCACTGGTCAGTGGCCATGCTGTGGCAGCAGCTCACATACAAAATAAAGGAAGACTGGCATAGATGTTAGCTCAGAGCAAATCTTCCTCAAGCAAAATAATAATAATAATAACAACAACAACAACAATAATAATAATCACTGATCAACAAAAAAAAAATCTAGCTATAAAAATATTTATTATTAGGGGCCAGCCCTGTGGCATAGTGGTTAAAGTTCAGCACATTCCACTTCAGTGGCCCGGGTTCATGGGTTCAGACCCCGGGCGTGGACCTACACCACTTGTCAGCGGCCATGCTGTGGTGGCAACCCACATACAAGATAGAGGAAGACTGGCAACAAACATTAGCTCAGGGCAAATCTTCCTTAACAACAACAACAACAACAATATATATATACTTACTGTTATATTGCTAGCAAAATAGGAAAGAAAAAATGGAAACAATCTAAATATCAACCAAAGAAAACCACTTAAATAAATTATGGTATATCCATATTATAGAATACTATGTTACCAACAATAATGATATTGTGGAATAATATAACAATAATGATGATAATAACAACAACAGCAGCTACCAATTGAGGACTTACTATGTGATAAACATTATTCTAAGCACTTTACATGTCTTAAGCCATTCGAGCCCCAAAACAACCCTAGGAGGTAGGTATTAACTATTATTATCCCATTTTACAGATGAGGAAAAAGAGACATCAGCGCAGACGCTGAAGCAGAGACACGTTATACAACATGTCTAAGGTCACACAGCTAAAAAAGGGCACGTCAGGAATTCAAACACCATTTAGGTCCAGAGTCTGTGCTCTTGGGCACACTAGCAACGATCAAGAATATTTTATGACATGGGAAATTTTTTTTGTATTAAGTAAGAGAAAGTAACTTAAAAGAGAGAGGAGAAGGAAGGGAGGGAGGGAGGAAGGGAAGAGAAGAAAGAGAAGGAAAGAAAAGATACAGAAAAACACCTGAAAGACTGTAATTCTGACTGAACATTTGGTGTTACTCGGATAGCTTTTGGTGTGTACTTTCTGTATTTTCCAAATTCCTTCAACATATCAGTTTGATAATTACCAAAAAATAGAAATAATTTTTTTTTTTTTTTGTAGGGAAGATCAGCCCTGAGCTAACATCCGTGCTAATCCTCCTCTTTTTTTGCTGAGGAGGACCGGCTCTGAGCTAACATCTATTGCCAATCCTCCTCCCTTTTTTTTCCCCCCAAAGCCCCAGTAGATAGTTGTATGTCATAGGTGCACATCTTTCTAGTTGCTGTATGTGGGACGCGGCCTCAGCATGGCCGGAGAAGCGGTGTGTCGGTGCACGCCCAGGATCTGAACCCCGGCTGCCAGTAGCGGAGTGCACGCGCTTAATCACTAAGCCACGGGGCCGGCCCTAGAAACAATTTTTATGTTGATTTTTCAATTGCACACTGGAAACACTGAACAGTTATTGACTTTATAAGACTTTGGGAGGCAGCCGTTCACTGCCCCTATTGTGGAGCCTCAAAAAGTGCTTAAGTGAAAAGCGATCCAATCATTCAGGAGGAGCGAGCGGACCGTCGGCCTGCCTTTACCAAGAGTTTCTGCTCCCACAGGCTGACACACAAACCCCACTTTGGGGCCACATAATAGTCATATATTACATTTCTCTTGTGTTGTTTTAATATAATAACAACAACAACAACAACAATAATAGCTACCTTTCAAAGAGTACCTGCCATATGTCAGACGTTTGTGCTAGGGGTTTTACAGTACAGTATCCTACTCTTGACAACAGCTTTGTTGAGCAGGTATGGCCTATTTAACACCTGTGGAAACTGAAGTCCAGAGAGCTTAAGGGATTTGTCCAGAGCCACACAACCAGGAAAGAGGGTAGCCAGGAGTTTGGCCTAGGTCTTCATGGCTCCAAAGCGGCCTCCTTCTCCCACACCACGTTTTGTAGAGGCAGTATGGTGTGGTACTTACGAGCACTGATTCTGGAGACTGATTATCTCAGTTTGAATCCTGGCTCTGCGACCTTGGACAAGTTACTTAAGTTCTCTGTGCCTCAGCTTTCTCATCCAAAAAATACAAATACTAATAGTACCTCTAGGTCCCAGGGCTACTATGAATTGAGACATGTATTGTCTCATGACATAAATCATTTCCATCAGGAAGTATACGTAGATTCTGAATAAACTCATTAAAGAAATTTGCCATCAAAAGTATACGATAATGATTGACATAACAAAACCAAGTAGGCATTCCATAAATTTTCAATAATAACAGACACATGTTGTGCTTACTGTGTGCCAAGCCCTGTTGTAAGCCTTGTTTGTACACATTAATTCATTTAATCCTCATAACATAAAGTCCCAAGAAGCCTAGCAAACTTACACAGCTTTGCGCCGGCAATTTTATAGGATTGGTAATATCCCTTCCTTTACCTGGACTCTTCGTAGATGAGCCACACGCTCCTCTATGGAGGTCTGCAAGGCCATGGGGACTTTCAGAATCTCTTGGTAATTGTCCATCAGAAACGTCACCAGCCTAGCAGCTAATAACTCATCCAAGTCCACTTCATCCTTGGAACACAAGATGCAACGGGAAAATGTCTGAACCATCTAAAAGAAAAAGTGGGGGGCGGGGGGGGTAAACAAACACAGATGAGTTTTTTTTTTTTCCTACTCGGAACTGAGTGCAGTCTAATTTGCAAAAAGCAAATGTGACTAGTCAGTGAGAAATGGCCCACAGCACAGGGAGCACATCCTACCTGGCACCTGGCCACACCTGGTCATCTCAGATGGGCTGATCTTCTCGTCAAGCAGAATGAAGAGAAGGTGCATCTCCTCTCACAGAGACTTAGCAGAGATACTTGTCTGAGCAGTTTTTAAAGGCACCCCCTTTACAGACAATTTTAAATATATGTTTAAACAAATTTTGAAAATTATTAACACCACCATGACTTGGATCATGTAGCACTTTTAAGTTCAAAGTACTTTATAGCCATTTAGTCTAATAATATCCTAATTCCATTATTGATTTGTTTTTTGAATCTGCTGGCACAATCTATGTGCCTCAACTGTTATATTTTTTCCTAGTTAACTGTCATTTTCTCTAGGATTTTGTATGTACGTTTGATAATCACCTTTGAACAAAACCATGAGACTTTACAAGAAGTACATTAAGTGACAAAGACTCTCTTTATGGTGAGCAGAAATATAAAAAATAGTATAGCAGTTGCTTCCATAGAATACATATTAACTACTCCATTCTTAATACTAGCCTTTGGATGGATTTTCTTTTTCTTTTCCTACTAATTTTATTGCTGACGATATTATTTCAAAACCTATAAGCACGAAATCATGTAATTCCGTTTAATAAGACTTCATTTTACCCACACAGTGCAGACGATACTTTATCTTCACTCACATCCTTGTGGACAGAGACACACACAGAGATTCTTTACCTGGAGACTATGGACCCCAGGGAATCCCTGAATGCCTTGAAATTGTATGCAAAATTTTACACATGCATTCTTTTGGGGAAAACGTGCAAAGTTTTCTTCAGCTTTTCAAAAAGGTCCATTAGCCCCCCTACCCATCCACCAGAGGAGCACTCAGTGCTCCTCTGATCTTCCTCCACACTTCTAAACCCGGGCCAGTGGCCCCCCAGGGGTACACAGAGGTTCACCAGGATATAGAAAGGACGTACATCCCAATGAAGCAACAATTTGGCTCCAAGACTTTTTTTGAGGAAATCTAAGAAATTTTGGTAGTAAGTAATTCTAAACATAAACCCTATTTTAAAACATAGGCTGTTATTACAAAGTAGAATTCAAAATTAGCATATGTTTTTAAGCAGAATTGAGAGTATTTTAAGAAATGCCCTCAACTCATGGACCCTAGATCATACAAGTTCTCTTTCTCCTTCCAAGTAGTCTGGTCCAACTTTATACGTTACTTCTCCCCTCTTTACTCCGTTATATATGCTGCATCCCTCCCACTGGTTATGGTAACAGAGGGTCTGCAACTCTTTTTGTCCTGGAGGAGAGAATGTTGATTTCTTGAGACAACTTATCCTTTCTGTCCATCCTTCCTTCTCCTTGTGTTAACAATAGGCAGGAGGCAGCAGAGATCTCGACACTCAGAGTTCAGCCCGACTCGCTCGGTAGGTTCTTTAAGACACTAAAACCAAAAGCACAATACCAGTCTGGGTGGACTCCAAGCCACGGCTCTTTAAGGAAGCCTGCCTTGTACCTTCCTCTGGTTCCCAGCTACTAAACTTTACTCGGGTGAAATTTACTCAAAAAACTCAAGTCATGCTAGACATTAGAAATCAACTTACCAGTGTTCGGGTGCCAAAGCCATCAAACAGTGGCGGCATCTCCTTATTTAAGCAGATCCTTGCCATCATCCTCATCAACAGCTGTAACTTTCTCCTATTTTCAGGTGGCAGGAGGAGGCAGCAAATCTGAAATGCTTCAATGGCCATTTTCTCTTTCTGTAACAAACCTGATTTAGGAAAAAAGTTTTTAATTTTTTAAAATCTATAGCCTACTTGAATCTACTATGTTCACATATTTACAAAATATATATTACTAAACTTATATAAAACAGGTTCACGTATTCAACTATACTGAGCCAATTGATCATAGATCCACTGTCACTCACAAATCAGCATAGAAAACGCAAACCATCAACTAGGGATGACAAATATATAGAACAAATACATTTCCTCCTTCCACACCCTTCACAGATATAACTAAATTTTCATAGCATCTTTTCCCACTGAATCAAGAGCAGTCAAGTGAAGCCTAACCTAACCCTTAACACTTACACCGACAACAGGTCCAAGATAGCATGAGAAAGAACATGACGGTGCCATCACTGCCCTGAATTCTCTCCCATTGTATTATTTCCTCATGAGGAGCTGGGTCACCATCTTGCATGACTCTCGAAGACTAAATAATAGGACTAATGCTCCTATAGTCAGTCCACTGCCAAATGGCTCCATTTCTTTCTAAATAACACCTGTCAACCAACCCTTCCTCCCACTTAAGCTATTTTTTCTAGCTAAGCGTGCTGATTCAAGGGTGTTACATGCCATCCCTCCTCACCCAGGAAGATTTTGCTAAATACCAGGGTATTCTAATATTGTGGTCTCTTCAATCGTATTTGTCCCTGGACATACCCATATCCAAGCCTGCTAAAGAGATGAAACTGCTTTCACCAATTTATTGGTCTATATCCAACCTTTCCAAGCTCCCACTGGTCTCTGACTTGGAGGCAAAACCATCTTTTACATTCAATAAATATTTTCTGACGATGTATGATATGCCAGGAACTCTGTTAGGTCCTGGAAATACAGATATATACCAGGTCCCTTCCTTTGAAGAGCGTATGTACTGTGAGAAGGAGAGACCTTCTGGAAGGGCCATATTAGAGGAACTCTAAGTCATTCGATATGACTGCAGTATAGGCCATGAGGATGAGGGCTTGGTATAGAAGTGAAGCTAAAAAGGCTGGCAGAGAACAACAAAAGACCCCGAATAGTTAAAGGAATCCTGAGAAAAAAGAACAAAGCTGGAGGTATCACACTCCCTGATTTCAAAATATACTACAAAGCTATAGTAACCAAAACAGCATGGTA